TTCCACCTACTACCTGCCTCGGCTAATATCGCTCGCCGTGGCAACCTATCTGGTGACATGCGTAGCACATGTCCCAACCAGCGTAATCTATGGAGGTCGACCACTTGCCCCAGCATTGCTCGTCCGGCTGCCCCACCGGATTCGTGCAATGCTGCGTAGACAGCGATGTTCTAACACCGACGGTCCATCTTTGTCCTGTTTTCTTAATGACCAAGATTCTGCTCCATATGGCAGAACTGGCCGAACTGCTGCAGCATACACTCGATCCTTAACAGACAGCCGGATGTTGCGACGGCGCCACAGAGACCTCAAGTTGGTAAATACCAACCGAGCCTTCTGTATACCGGCTGACACTTCATCCATGATGTGTCCACCGGGTGAAATGTAGCTGCCCAGTTAATAAAACTTATCCACTTGCTCTATTAATTCCCCAGTTGGAGTGTGTCTGGGTGTTGGACCAACCCAGTCTTACAATACCAGTTTACACTTTGAAGGTGCAAAACGCATACCGAATATGACTACACTAGCACTCAAGCGATCCAGAAAAGCTTGCAACTTACCTGGATCTTCACTCAGTAGCACAGTGTCGTCTGCTCACTGTAGATCAAACAGTTTGCCACCAGGAAGTAAATCGATGCCACTATCCTCGCACGAGGATAGGGTTATTTCTAGAATAAAATCTGTAACCAGGTTAAATAGAAGCGGTAAGAGAGAGAGAGCAACCCTGACGAACACCACTGCGTGGTGAACTCGGATGAAAAAGTGCTGTAAGCTCGGACTCGGCTTCGGTTATGAGTAGTTTAAGGGTACCCAACAATGTATGTGAAATGGCTGTCTGTCACGTGTGCCGTCGAATGTTTTCTCCTGATAGAACGTCACATTTATGACGATCTCCTGCCTTACTCACTATCACCATCAATGCATAGTAAAACACAGTGAAATGCATTTTTCGCTGCCAAATTCAGTGCATGTGAGTCAAGTGAGAATGTGTATGGTGGACGGGGATTAGGTCTATTTTGAGAGGCTGGGTAAGAAGTCAAACTTCAACACATAAGGTACACAGTTCAACTATGAATACGCACTGTTTCAAACACTGTCGTCTGATAGTAAGAACTTCATCGCTGTCGGTTCGTTGCGATGTCCATCAAGGTCTGCCACCAACCAGTTGCTGAGTCTGTTGAATTCTGGCCTGGATAATGACAGACATCTAATTCATCTAATCACTGTGCATTCCTTCATTCCTATTCATCACTACATCTTTTAACCTCTATTTGGTTTTCTCCACCTCGGAGGGGCAACTACAAATAGGACGCAAAGGGATAGACGACATTTAAGCATACGCGAAACGTATCCTAATCAGCGAGGTTGAATTCGATGAGATAGCGATACAATCCCAAACGCACGACGACTTACCTCGAAGTTACTCACCCGCTCACTTCATCCAACCTGTGCTAGTCCATCTAAGCATCGATTGTTGTAAGCCTGTTTGGAAGGGATGTATTCTACTCGGAAATTCAAGTTCTCACAACTGTAAAGCAGAACTGACCGAATAATGACACAGTATACGCGACTTTTCAACCGCAGTGAAATATCATATCGTCGCCACAAATGCCTCGTTCTCCCGTACGCCGCTCGTGCCTTGAAAAGCGTGNGTCAGATGAAGCCCGTCAGGTTCTGCTGCTTCTCTGCTCTTCAGAGCTTAAATGCAAGCTCGTATATCTGCTTGCGCGTGACGATCACATGACGCTTCTTACGTAGCTTCAGCTTCAACTTATTGAATCATCTGGTTAGCGACTGGTCGGGTAAACTGTTTGTTTATCGTGTCTTTTGGTTTTTCTTTCCCCTTTCATGTGTTAAATTTGATACAGAAGCTTTTAGGCTTAAAAAGCTGTGCGTTCCCCAAATGTAATTCTTAAATTTCTGACTACATGCATTCTTCCACATTGGTTGTACTGTTTCCTCGTATACTTTCCTGGTCTAAAGGAGACAAACGTTTTCAGATCTCTTAAACTTCTTTCCCGTTGCAGCGGCATTTCAAAGGCCGTTTTGGTTGACTTTATTATGAGCAAGCATTCTGATTCATGCGATCGATTTTTCAGCCATATCCAGTCAAATGGAGAACACTGCCTGCACTCCTATCTCAATAAATCGGTGTCTCATCCGAGTACCCGTTCCCAGTTTCGAATTCTTTGTGCACACACCACCACATACAAAAACAACATGATCCCTTATTTTGCTCGTATCTTGGTCAACCGAGCAAATAGTATTACTGACTTCAATAATCACCGGTCAAATTAAAATTTTATCTAATCCGTTTGTTTTTCATTTAGTAAATGTATATTTCTTTTGTTTCCACTGTTTAACGTTTTCCTCACTGTAATTTATCGAAAGTACTAAAAATTCATCCTATTGGATACATAAAGCTTTAATTGAAAAAATTCCTCATCTAATAATTGATCTTTTTTAACCTCACAACATTTTCCCATGCCGTTTTCCATGTGTTTTCCTGTTTATTTTTTCATTTCATTCAGAAATCAAAGATAGACAATCCATCTATTTCCGCTTCATCATCATCTTCGGTTCCAATTCCGGTGCCAAGGGAACCGGTACCTCACGATCCGCTGCGTGAAAAGCGTACAGTGTTTGTCAGCAATTTGGATTACTCGGTGAATGAGGAACAATTGCGTGCCATATTTGAATCGGTAAGTGAATAGACTAAAAATAGCAGTCCTTCAAATGGACTTCGTGCATATTGAACTGTTTCGAGCGCCTTCTTATTCCATAGGGTGAATAGCTTTGAAGTTTCTAGAGTTTGTGTCACGTGCACTTGTCTGTACGCGATGCATGATATTCACTATCATCGTATCAGGATATCAGTCCATTACAGTACTGAAATGCGCTGCAGACAAGTCCAACGACTGTTTCACCATTGTTACAATTCTTTCACAGGGTCTACATATCTGGCTTGCAACGAGTCAAACGCATACGTGCGCTGTTTTCAGTTCGATCCTCCACTGGTTTACTGGCGCTCGTCTGTTTCGGTTACTTAATTCACCACTGATACGTGAACCAGAATATTGAGTTCGTGGTGCAGTTAATCATTTTTTCATCTGAGTCGTCATTAGCATCATCGTTGAACGAGATACAGTGCGGCGAAGTTCGCTGGTCATTAACAGTGTGTACCAGGTAAATATAAATGTTGGCCTAAAACCCCGAGTGTTTGATGATCGATGCCAGATTACCAGTTCAGTATATGGTGAGCAACAGAGCTGGAGGGAATCTTGGAGCCATTGAGCTCTAAATTTCTCTGAATGTGTGCGGGGATCCTGGTGGCCAAATGTCTCTCAGTTCTTTCGATATATTTGCTACCGCAATTGCATTGAAATAAATAGACAAAGGAGAAGGTGACTTCAGAGTTCAGCTTGTCCGAGTTGTTTCGGCAATCATTATTTTACTTTTATGGAGAATAATTAGTGATGTGGCATTGAACGTTCTTGAAACAGCTTCTTTCAATTGACGTTGTGTTAACCTCTCATTCTGATCACCTTTCAACGGTAATGTGATGAGAAAGTTTTCCTTGTTGCATCGTTTCTCCTACCTCTAGTCTCTGTGTTATTGCCATACTCGGCAGTGAAATTTAGCGGATAGCCATTGTCATGCAATGCACAGAATATCAGCTCAAGATCGCTTTCAAGTTTCTCTGTAGGACAAATCCTCTTCGCTCGAGAGAATTTACAAGGTATGATTCAGTGCCTGGTAGACTTGATAAAATCCATGATGATCGGACTTACTACTTGGTTATGTCGAGTGGAGTACCAGTCCACATAACTAAGGTATAGAGCCAGACGCAACCTCTCTTGACTTTGTCGTATTACCAAGCCGGGTCAGAAGAGGCCTCTTCGTTACAATGAATGATAGGCAAGTGCGATGGTTGTGCGTTGAAAGTGCTGTTCGTCCAATCGTCAGTGTTCTCGCAACACTGCCCTTGTTTGGTCTCTTGACTGAGTTGAAGGTTAGGAACTTGTGGGTAGAATACCAGTTAGATCAGTCCTAACATAGGTATGAGTGATATATTCAGATCGTGTAATGAATTTGTATGGGCAAATCAGAAGACATACATACACTTCGAGAGGAATTCCTTTCAAATGCTCTCATCGTTCGCGTACGTACACAAAAGTAACTACCCTCGTAGAGTATAACATTAAACAAGAAAAAAATGAAGTAAATTAAGAAACCTAGTTGGATTTTATGGTGCGTGTGTGTGTGCGTATTTGTCTGTGTGCAGATTATAGGATACCCTCAGGGTAGGCCACTTTTGCTGAGTTTCTGAGCGTTTGTTCAGGCCTCGAATATCCCTAGGCAGTGTTTGTCAGAATGAACGCGTTCGCAGTTTCTACTTTCTGCCTTCAGCGAGGTGGCTTGTGATAGCCGAAGTTGGCCTAGGTGTTGCGCTAAGAATATGTACGGTAGGCTGTTTATTTGACTCATGCACATACTGGGTCTTACCAATGTATGTTCCTTTGCAGCTGCAATGTTTGGTGTTTTCTGATGATTTTCAGATCGATTCTTTCCTCCATATGATGCATTCTAAGACCGATTACAAAAGTGGGTCGGTCTTTTTTCTACCTGTACGGAGAGGGGATATCGCTTTGTAACCATGTGGTAGATTTTGTCCTATAGTTTTCAGTTCATCGTGGAGCATTTTAGCTAGCCATACCAAGGTTAAAATCGTCACATTCACACCCGGTCACCTCGGTCCTATTTCCAGTGATTTACCATACACTTCACTTCAGTAGTTTTCAAACTCTATTCGTAGACTGACGGTTGCGAGCAAGAGCAACCCATCTCATAAGATAAACTTTACGAAATCACAAACACGCATTCAGTTTAGTGGCTTTGATTGGGTTCACTGTGTATGAGTTTTTAACTTGCAGTCATTCTTCTATTTGGCCGAATTTTTTTTGGCTACGCATTCATCTCATTTTCGTCGAATCTTCTTTTGTGGACATGCAACCCACTACTAACCGCACCTTACTCTTGCGTGCGCTTCCAAAAGTGTGGTAAGCTGTCATCTGTGCGGCTCGTACGAGACTATGCAGGTCGATCAAAGGGCTATGCCTACGTGGAATTCGAGGAGGAGCAATCTGTTCCTGTGGCCTTGGAAAAAGATCGTCAACCGGTTGCTGGAACAACAGATCTAGCTTCGGATACCACTGAGTCGACTTCGGAAACGGATCAACCGCTTCACTTCGCTAGGCCCATGTTCGTGTCACGCTATGATCCGACTGGTACAAAAACAGGCAGCGGGTTCCGATTCGAGGTGGGGCGTGAAGAACCTCAAAAGTTGTTCGTGCGTCACTTGGACAAACGGGTCACGAAAGAGGCACTGGAGACCCTATTCGGGCAGGTCAGTGCAGTGGGTGATTTTCATGTGATTAGAATTGGTAGTCTATCCTTTTGTATGTTTCCAGAGCTACTTTAGATAAAAAAAATGAGTGTCATTACACGCGCGTCACTACCGCCGGTTCTGATCTATGTGACTCGGTGGTCCTTTTAGCTGCACATATGATTGATTCTCTCCGTGATTATCGGAACGAGTGATGAAAGGGAATAGAGGGATAGCTGCTGAAGTCTGAATGTCTTCTTCATGCAAGAACTTTTGAGATCATCAAAAATGCCTGAATAACCACAATGGAGGCAGCGGCTGAAATGTCGAAACTAACTCACAAATTGTGTATTGTGTATAAATTTTACAAAACTGGAGCTCACATTTCAGTTAAAAGCATACACGCTAACCGTCACAATGTACATAATCAACGGGGAGAAAAGTTTTCGCAGGTATGGGGACATTCATAATCCAAGGTTAAAACAAAGTTCGCTCTTTGTTTGTGAGTAGACGAGCAAGATACGGTATGGGTGAATTGCGGTATGCATTCATTAGAGATGAAATTTGGCGGAATTGGGAGCGTGTTGAATGATGGGAATGACAAAGTGTCAGTTCTGCATGCAATGGGTAGTCCGGATCTGTGAGAATCCTCTCGGCAAATTTCACACAGGAAGTTACGTGATACTCAGAAAGC